CGATCTTCATGATGAACGTATGAAAAGTATTTTATGACTTATTATATTTGAGAAACCCCATCCGGTGTTCGTTCAAGTCGCAACCGATCGCGCCTCCGAAATGTTGTCCCAGATAGAGCTTTGAGACTAAACCCGGAGCAGAAATGTACGATTGCCAAAGCTGAGATAGAAAATTTTAGCCAAGAATTGATAACGCTCAAGCGTGATGCAGATACTACACTGGATTACTATCGGGTAGTGTAGCGATATTCTAGCGTTTCTAAGAAACAGGCTCTTTGTGATGAAGCAGAGTTGGAACTAGAACAAATAGGAAAACTTAAGTACAACTACGAAAAATTTACAACGGAAAAAAACCTTCAAAACCTGGGTGTAACAGCCGAAAAAATAACGCGATTTATGGATGAAGTCTTAAGATCACAGGTACTGGAGAACCAGCTCGGTTGTTAATGAAGTTGCATTGCTCACAGGATACTTTGGTCGACAAGTACCGTCTAAACAACTCTACACTTCGTTCCCAACGCAGGAAGCTTCTCTCTCAACAAAAGCAGAAGGAGGAAATGGGTGAAGTTTTGCACGAAGTTGATTTCGAACAACTGAAAATTGAAAATGCCCAATTTTTGGAGATAATCGACAAGAAGAATCAAGAGTTGCTGCGACTCAAACTCGCCGCTGGCAGAGTTGCACAAACCTCAGCTTCCTTGAAGGTAGTTTTTTGCCCTAATTTACTTCTGCGTTTTCAGAGAAAACTAACTCAACTGAGTAAAGAGTCAATTTCACTACAAAATGAGATTAAAAACCATGAGGAAACGGTCGCAAAGACAACGTTAGAGACAGCACAGGTAATTAGGGTAGGTTTGAAGCAGTAACACCCACAGTTGAGACGCGCCGTAGGAGAAGCAAAAAATTGAAGCGAGAATAGCTCACTTAAGCAAGTTGATGGAGGACTACCGTGTCCCGCCGGTGATGGATTATGTGGACAGCGTGCGCGAAATGCGAATACTTAAAAGGATGGCAAAGATTCAGAGTAGAAAAGTCGATATTGCAAAGGCAAGTCGCATCTCTTGTTAAGCTAATGTAGTTTGCCATAAACTCATTCAGTTATAACGCCTTCAGCCATTATAGGTACACATTTCCAGTCACCACCTTGTTTGCCCCACTTTATCTTTCCCACACCACCATTTCATTTTCAATGCGGTCAAGTTAATGCCCGGTACTTGAGTTGGAAATTATAACCAACACTCAAAACCCAGAGAAATGAGTTATATGAAGCGTAGGAAATAATATAGTTCTCTTCTCCCTTGCCCTTATCCTAAGGCACAATTATCCATGATCCAATTTTGGATGCATTAGGTCTTGTACCATCCTCTCACTCATTCTATAATCTTGACTCCTCCCATTTTTCAAGTCATCACAAATGCTTCAACTTCACCTACAGGTGACCTATCTCTAGTAAATACATGCAAAACAAGTATATTCATGTAGAGGCGAGGTGTTATGAGCCCCAGGTGTGAGACAATAGATTTCTCATAATCGATGGGAAAAGCGCAAGTTACCTGGTGTACAAAGAAACCTCTTCTAGCGGTGTGTTGAAAAAAAGTAAGTAATTAACCACAGCGTCTCAGTCCTTCCAGCTAGTAGTTGCCGACAACAATCGCATTGTGTAACTCTAATATCAAAATAAAGGAACGTTCGAAAAAGTATGTATCTTTCCTTTGATGACTTGCTGTCGAAATCACACCTACTGCACACGTTGCACATTGTATACTGAACTTGACAGAAATCTCCTTAATCATCTTCTGAACCAAATGTGACTTGAACAGAATCAGGTCACATTTATCTGATACCTCAGGATATGAGGTGCACTGAAACCTATACAAAAATCTTGTTCAGATGAGTGTAATACACCATCTAATGGCAACACGCTTTATGGAAAAAACCGAGAATCACTCATTTTTGCCAGTTTTACCACAGATTTTTGCCATTTCTTTCCTCATTTTAGACAAACCTCTCACGACACCGACGTATTTGGCAATGTCTTCAGAAAAAAAACACGCTCCAACCTTATTGAACGGGCAAATAAAAAGTATCACTGCTTTTCATAGTCTTATTTAAAATGACAAAGTAAAAAAAAACAAACAGAACTAAGAGAACGTTAGGTAAATGAAAGACCACCGAACCACAAAAAGTCAGAGGAGCCGCGAGCAGCAGATGAAACTACCTTGGACTTCTAGGAGAAACCGATGAGAATGAAGAGAAATTACCTCTAAAGTTGGCTGTCTTTTCCTGGCAGTGGGTGTAACGTGGAGTGGAGGTCGAACCTGAGATAGGGAAAAAGGAAGGAGGCCAAAAACTGGCATTTTTACAGCCTTTTTCGTCACCCCTCCATCGAACCCCTTTAAAGACGGAATCAGGGAAAGAAATCCGAGGTTAGAAAAATCATCCCTACTTCCCCCTGTTTCCTCTTCGAAGGCGATGCCAAAAGACACTGGAATCAACATAGCGTATAGAGCAGAAGTCGCACGCACAGCAAAACCGATCCCAGCGTTTAGGCATTCTGAGCACATCTCCAGATCAAAGGGATCTACTGCTGTCTCAAGACATTTCAGAAGATCTTGTCCGATCCCAGTCACATTCCCCACATTGAATGAATCAACGCTTGAGGGTCGCTTTTCAGTACTAGCGAGAGGCCAAACCAACAGGCGTAGGATAAATCGAACGTCAAATAAGAGTTGCAAAGCTTGAGGTTGTGTCAGCTTGCCCTCTTGGTCACCTACCAACCGACGGTATGTGTTGAGAAGGCTTTCAGCAAGCCGTTTACCAAAAGCTTCTGCAGCAGAACCCCTGAAAATAATAAGGGCATTAGCCGAAGTTGTGCAGTTACCGAGGAAGGGTGTGAACGCTGAGAGTCGTCAAGTTCCGCACAAGAGTGAATAGAGTCTCTTGAAGTGGCCAGGAGGGATGCGAGGGGACTTTCAATGTCACAACAGCTGCCGATGAATCAATATCTTGTAAAGGAGGTTTCAACGTGATCTCGCACCATCGCTAGAGTAGGTCGTAAGAAAAGGACGACAATGGAGTCACTTACCGAGGTGGTGGCAACTACCTTTGCATCACTGGAGCAAGAACCATTGTGGATAAAGGACAATAATTGGTAAAGGTTCTCCAGGTTTGAAGATTCGGCAGTTATGCGTAATATAGCAGTAAGGCTCAAGTGAGAAGCGAGGGAACGAAGACTTCGACTAGTAGAGAGCCAGGCTTGACGTAGTTTTGAAACATCTGTCCATGGGAAGAACCTACATGACAATTTTAGTGCCATGCTGTGTCGATTAGCGTTCGGATCTAGCAGCACATGCAATGCACCTATACTCTTTAACTGCCCACTTCTAAGTCTATTCGAAATTTCACATAGAGAAGCTTACTGCAATCCGAAATAATGACTAACTGTACTTGACCTGTCAACTCGAATTGGAATCTTTAAAGTCAGATGTACAGCCTTCCACAAAACTCTATCCAAGGACAATCGGAGTTCTGTTG